TGTTGACAATTGGACATTTAGATAACATATTGTAGTAGCTCTGGATTCTGATCCTCCCCCCCCCCATCCCAGGCATGGTGTCATTGCTGTTTTCTTGTTTTTTTCTTTACTTGCTTGTTAAGTGAATTCTGTGGTGCTTCTTCCCTAAGCCCCACCTCAATGTGCAGCTGCTGATGAATCTGCCAAATTTTTTAAATTCTTAACTTTATTTTTTAAGCCTGGGTTCCTATGGGTCACTCCTGGTCAGCACAGTTTAGTTGTGAGCCAAAGACTGTGCTTAAACACTTTGAGAAGATAAGACTTCCAGCCTTGCTGACAGACCTATTGCCTCTGTGTGGCTTGGGGAATACTTTATAATTCAGGCAGTTTAGAAGTCCCTTCAGTTTTTACTTTCTGCCTTTCAAGGCCTCATGTTCAACTAGGGATGAGTAGTTCACTAGAGTCCTCTCTAGTCTCTCTTGGGCATACACGTAGCCTTGTGCATGCACAGAGTCTTCCAGACCATCAGGGATAAGTGTGATCTTCTCAAGGTCTACTTTGGTTGTCCCCCTCCCAACCCCCTCACCCCTATTTCTCTGTTAAATTTAGGTCTGGTCTGCCATTCTGTTACTTGTCTCCAAAGTATCACTAACTCAGACTAGCAGAAAAGTTGGATTTCTCTGACTGCTTGTCACTGAGATCACTATTGTTTTCAATAATGTCCCACAGCATGAATTTTTCTCTGCATAGCTCCAAATTACATCATTTCTCCTCCAGCAATGGGCTGCTAGTCCTCACGGCCTGCCCCACGATGGCAGAACAACTTTTCTGATAGAACTGGGTGAGGAAATGGGAGCAGCACCAGGCTAAATTGCTCCAAGTTACCAATCTTCTTACCAACATTCAGTAAATTTTCTTGACTACATGTATCTCAATTTGTTGTACTGCTTTTGGCCAATTTCCTGTCTTTAAACGGTTGTTTTTAACAACTATGTCCAGTTTTGTCAATACTTTTGGGGAAAAGAGTTGCTGAGCTCTTCAGTTAGCCATTCCAGAAGTCCCACCTCATTTTTAAATCTCTTTCTAGTTTGTAGCTCTCATATTTCCCTTTAACAAAAAATTTATTAGACGTTACAGGAATTTTTACTCGTTTTTAGAAATTTCGAACAATTCTTTTTTTTTTTTTAAATGTTTATACTGAGCCAAGATATTTATTCCAGCAGAGTTCAGCTAAGTATCTTCTATGTTAGAATCACGGATATATATAGATATATAGGAACAACAATTCCCATTGTAACTTAGCTTGTTCTTGAATAACCATTCAATACAGAATCAACAGAGCGCTGAGTTTTTCAAAAATACTGCCACATTCATTAATCCACGTGAGCTTCATGACAGCCTGGCCATGTGAGTGAACCATGTCAGAAGTGGAAACTCCAACCCTCCATAGAGTTGCCCCAGGTAACACCATGTAGAGCAGAGACATGACTTCCTCTCTATGCCCTCTTCTGAGTTTTTAAATCTACTTCTCTTCAGTGTTGTTCTAGTACATATTTTTGTCCTAGCTATCTTCTTTCTAACCCTAGCTTTACTTGAAGGCTCTTTTTTCTTTTACCTGTGGACTAAGGTAGAGCTTCCTTCTTCCCACTTATCCTACTTGAATATTTCTGCTTTTTGATCTTTTTTCATTTTCTGTCTTTCTCCTTGTCTTAGTTATCTAGTGCTGCCATGACAGAAATATCACAACTGGATGGCTTTAACAAAGAAAAATTTATTCTCTCGCAGTCAAGAGGCTAGAAGTTCGAAGTTATCTCTGTCAGCTCTGGGGGAAGGTCCCCATCATCAATCTTCCCCTGCTCTAGGAGTGTCTCACCCCATGGACCAAAGGACATGCTATTCTCCTGGCTCTTGTTTCTTGGTAGTATGAGGTCCCCATGTCTCTCTGCTCACGTCTGTCTTTTATTTCTCAAAAGACATTGATTTAAGACAAAATCTAATCTCGTAGATTGTGTTCTGCCTCATTAACATAACTGCCGCTAATCCCACCTCATTAACATAGAGATAGGATTTACAACACAAAGGAAAATCACAGATGACAAAAATGGTGGACAATCACACAATACTGGGGATCATGGACTAGCCAAGTCGACAGATATTTTTGGGGGACACAATTCAATCCATGACATTCCTGTTTGGCAAAGACAGCTAGTTGTAATTGCCTCCATCCATCCAGTCCTCTTTCCATTTTTGCCTCAGGGAAGCCAAATACGGAAGCCAAAAGCTGCCTGTCGATCACAGTTGGCCAAATCATTGCTTATTTTTAGGCTGACAGGGTAACCTCCATCTGGAACACTGCTAGCAGTTATGTCCTCAATTCATTTTTAAAGTAAAAATTCTACTTTTTCTAATTAACTTTTAAAATTAATAAATTTTAATTGCTTAAAATAGTGTTAAAATTATTTTATTTTGTTGTGGAGAACATACACAGCAAAACATACACCAATTCAACAGTTTCTACACATACAATTTAGTGATGCTGATTACATCGAGTTGTAATTCTCCTTTCCAAGTTGTTCCTCCCCCATTAACAAAAACTCACCGCCCCCTAACATTCCTATCTAATCTTTTGAGCTGCTGTTGTCAATCTGATCCCATATACACAGTTCTTAAAAGAGCAAAATGCTTAAGGCAGATCTTTTTTTACTAGTTAAGCTAAATTACTGTTTGGTTTCAAAATGACTTCAGGGGATATTTTTTGTTTAAAGTTTAAAGATTATCTCAGGACAACAGTTCCAGGGCTTCATCCACCCTCCATGGTTCTGGGAAGTCTGGGGTCCATGACAATCTGAAATTATGTTCTGTATTTTGCCCCTTTTGATCAAGATTCTTCATGGAATCTTTGATCAAAATGGTCAGTAATGGTAGCTGGGCACCATACAATTCTTCTGGTCTCATGGCAAAGGAAGCAGCTGTTCATGGAGGTAATTAGCCACACATTCCATATTCTCCTCCTATTCCTGACTCTCCTTCCTCTGTTGCTCCAGGTGAACAGAGACCAATTGTCATACACTGGATGGCCGCTTGCAAACTTTTAAGACCCCAGGTACTATGCAACGAACTAGGAGGTAGAACAGAAGCACTAAACACGTTATTAGGCCAATTAACTGGGATGCCCCATGGAATCATGACACTAAACCTACAAGCCAAGGAACCAAATTCCATGAGGTGTTTGGTTGTATATAAGCAGCCTCGGCAGCTACCTTTTTTTTGGTCCTCATTGTAAATGTATCTATCCCACAACTTTTGCCAGTTCAGCATTTTACAGGTGTACACTTTATTGACAATTACAATAATCGCCTGTGCAGCCCTACCCTTAATCAGTGTGATTTTCCATCACCGTTAACCCCTTCTTTTCTCTCTCCATCCTGCCCCTGGTAATCACTAATAAACTCTGTTCTCTATACATTTGTATTTTCTTGTCTTTTTATGTAAGTGATGTCATACACTATTTGTCCTTTTGTGATTGCCTTATTTCAGTCAGCATAATGTCTGCAAGTTCCATCTATACTGTCACATGTATCAAAACTTCATTTCTCTTACTGGTTGAGCAGTATTCCCTTGTATGTATATACCACATTTTGTTTATTCTTTTATCTGTTGATGAGCATTTAGGTTGTTTCCACCTTTTGGCTATTGTGAATAGTTCTGCAGTGAATACTGGTGTACAAGTCTCTTTTTGAGTCTCTGCTTTCAAGTCTTTTGGGTATATTCCTAGGAGTCGAATTGCTGAGTCATATGGTAGTTCTATTTTTAGTTTTGAGAAACAGTCAGACTGTTTTCCACAATGGCTGTATCATTTTGCATTCCCACCAGCAATGGATAAGGCTTCCAATTTCCCCACATCCTTGTCTACATTTGTTATTATTATTTTTTTTAATCTTAGCCATTCTAGTGGGAGTGAAATGGTGTCTCACTGTGGTTTTGATGTGCATCTCTCTGATGGCTAATGATGCTGAGCATCTTTACATGTGTCTGGTGGCCATTTGAATGTCCTCTTTGGTGAATATTTATTCAAGTCCTTTGCCCATTTTATGACTGGGTTATTTGTCTTTCTGTCGTTAAGTTCTTGAAGTTATATATATATATTTTGGTTATTAGATTCCTGTCAGATAGATGGTTTCCAAAGACACTGTCCCGCTTGGTAGCTTGTCGTTTCACTTTTTTGGTAGTCTTTTGATGAACAGAAGTTTTTACCTTTTATGAGGACCCATTTACTTATTCTGTCTTTTGCTGTTTGTGCCTTTGTTATACTCAATAATCCATTGTTAAAAACTAGGTCTGACAACGCTGCTTCTGCTTTTTCTTCTAAAAAGTAATTACCTTTATCCATATTTTTCTTTTTATTTTGTTTTATTCTCTTTTCTAAATCCTAAAACAATGTTTGGATTTTTTTTCTTTTAAAAATAATAAAGCCATTTAACTCTAACTCTAACACACTTAGACTACATCAACTGTTTTTATCTTTGATTCTTTTTGGGCACATTCATAAGTAAACTTTAGTTCCTTAAAGAGAGGGATAATTCCTTATGCTTCTGTTGCATCCCTCAGATCTACTACAAAGCTGGGTGACTGAAGGTGCTCAACTAGCATTTTACTGACTACTTTTAAAAAAAACAACTCAAAACTTTCATTCTCCAATTCTTAAGGTCTTTTTTTTGAGACTACAGAAATCAAATAAAAAACACTGTCAAACATGATTCCTAGATAACTTTGGTTCTGTAAGCCCAATTCTTTTTACTAGTGTGGCATTAATTCTAACATAACCATCAAGCTATTAATCTTTTTTTTTTTTGGAAATGAATTTTATTTTATTTCAAGCTATTAATCTTATCCTAACTAAAAACCATTCAAAGTTCCTGTTAAATATTATTTGACCGTAAGGGATTCCAATGTTTATCATTCCTCAATATGGACAAGGAAATAACTAAGCAGAACCAAAATTTGAAAAGGAAAATACTCACCTATACTTTCAAGTTTAATTAGAAGATTGATCCCAAATGTCATGGCAACATTTGATAAAAGACAGGAAAACAGCTTCCCACGAAAAGGCATCCCAACATAGTGAGGACTGATGACAAAATATGGGAGATAGGATACAAAGTAGATGAAACCTCCAACGGCAATAGCCATGTTTGCTGAAAATTTGAAGGGAAAGAATGGAAATCATAAAAATGTACTTAAAAATGGGACATCTTTTTTTGTGTTACAGCACACTAAATTTTATACCAAAATTGTTCGTTTACCAGATCTGTCATTTGTGGTATTGAGAGTTACTTCTGGAAATCACACTTCTGGAAAAATTATAAATATTTATATCCATTAAAATAAGGGGCCCAATTATGTTCCTAAGACTTTACTTAAAGGAAATAATTTCAAAAGTTTGGAAAGATCTATGCAAAAATAGATTAATTCCAACCTTTTTCAAACAGTATCAACGGGAACTGATAAAGGAAATAGAAATACTGTAAAAGGCTACAATGTAGCTATTAAAATGAAGATGTATAACTATTCATTTACTGAAAAATTTAAGTTTAAGAACTGAATATATTACATAACTTAAGTAAAATTCTACATGTATGTATAATAGAGATGTCTGGAGAGAGAGAGTTCAAAATATTAAGCTCTTATCTCTGAGTGTAGAATTTTACGTATTTACTTTCTTTAAAACAGTCCATATATCTGAAAATCCAGCAGTAAAAATAAACTCATGGACACAAAGATCTTATTTAGAAGTTAGCATAACACATGTTTGATGCTTAAAGAGAGTAGGTTTTGAAAGCCATCTTGGTGGGGATACAGGTTTATAGTATTCTGTAGTTTGTTTTTTCAATCTAAATCTACAATTATTAAGAAGTCGATTTGGATTTGCCTTTATCATCACCTACATGTTTCCCATTTCAGCCAGACATACAAATTACCTGTTCCTATCAGTAGTTTTACAATCTTTTGTTTGTTTTCAGTAGAAATAGATGTCTGAAATTACTTCGTGTTTTGGAAAATTCCTTTTATTTGGCCCTTTTCTTATGGAAAGGTGAGCACAGACTGAGGAAGTAAAGGTGACCTCTTGGCTGGTTCTTAATGTCCAGTCACACTCACTATTTTCTTCCATCTTTTTTTTTTTAATTTTATTTTTGGTGAAAATATACACAGCAAAACCCACTCCCATTCCAGTTCCTAGATAGAATGACCAGTGACACTGGGTACATTCTGCACATTGTCAACATTCTCATTATTTCTGTTCTAGTTGTTTCACTTCCATTTACTTAATCTCCTTGTCTTCTATCAATACTTTAAAATAGCTGTTGATCTTTTGGTCTTATATATACATATTTTTTTAAAGAAATGCAATACTCAAGGGTGATACCTGCGTCATTAATAGCTTATGCTTTGACTACATAAAAGAATTTGTCAAAGCAAACGGGAAGGAGGCTAATTTTGGCAGAGTGACACCAGTAACTAAAGCTACATTAATAAGCGGAGAACTGTTTGTTCCTCTAAGGACTTATCTAAATCGAGTAATCACTGGAAGAAAACAATAATGATAGGCTACACTATTTAAGGACTGCTTAAAATAATGTGAAATTGATTCGGGGGTGGGGTGGCAAGCAGGAAATAGTATTATATACCTATTAGTAAAATTATAAAATTTCAGAAATATTGAAAGATAACATAGACAATTTTTCTTTCATAAAAGGAAAACCTATGACCAAAAAGACTTTCCAATTCTGCTATGTCTCTAAGTTTTGGTGTGGTTAATACATGTAGTTTTACGTGGCTGAAAAAATTTAATGATGTTCTAATCATTTCATCTTCTTATGAATGGAATCTGAAGAATACGAGGTATCTTTGCTAATGCAGTAATATATATGTACTCTAGGTTTAAAACATGATATACTATAAAAATGTAATTATTGTTCATACTTGAAGAAGAATATATGAATGATAATCATCAATAAGAATCTGGGCAAGTGAGTGGGGCTGGGAACTTGAACATTAGTACTCCCTCCGAACCAAGACCAGAAGACATTCAAAGGTACCAAACACAGGTTCAGACTCGTGGTTGCACCCTCCCCTACAGAAAGCAGGGCTACTGGGCTTAGAAAAAGTCTCTATTAAAAGAGAACTGACTGTATAAGTTGTTTGATTTTTTTAGTGTTGTTTCAAAAACCTAATCCCACCCAATCCCATATAGGAATTACTACTTGGACTCGGTTCTTGAACTCACTTTTTCTTGGACTTAATGTGCCTCTAGCTATTTGATTCAGCAGGCCAACTAGACTTGATTTTAGTTCCATACTTTAGGCTTTGGCATTCTGTGTATCTTCTTATCAGTACCTCACCTCACGCTGTTCCCTTTCTGGATAGTGCTGACTGCTTGAAAGAACTCCGTATCTCAAAACAGGGCAAATATTTTATGTGTGTTTCCATTTAAAGACACCTTATTTAATACAGATTGCTGATTAAGACTGTGCTCACAGTTAACAGCACTGTAACTGATGCCTGAATGAAGTTTCTCTCTAAGGCACATCACAAACTTCCTGCACTCAGGACCGCTAGACAGCACGGAAGTACTATGCCTGTGGGCCATTTTTAAATACTGAAACCACAAACAAGTACAAAAATGCAAAAAATATGGCATAAATAGACTGTGAAAAGGACACCTGTTTACAGTACAGAAGTAGAAACAAAACAGAGCATCACCTTGTTTGACTTGGGCTGGACCATGAACCTTGAGTGACATAAATTTACTGCCACTCTGCGCATGTCCGACAATGACGGGTTTTGAGGTTACAAATAAATTTTAGCAAGCAGGTGAATTCACAAATACAGAATGTGTGAATAAGGACACTGTCTTTGAAATTGGAACCGTCCAGGAAATTCAGGACTTAATGGTATCTATAAGCGGAAAAGAAGTCTAATCCTACTGAAATTAGTAAATGTGCTTCAAACTAATGAGTCAGCCATTAGGGAAGAATTTACTAATGTTTGATCCACAGAAATCTTCCGGAAGTTAAAAGGATGCAGCTTAAGAATGGCCTGAAGGTTAGGGGAAGCCTATGCAGAAGCTGAAGAGGACAGTGCTAGGGTAGGAAGACCAGATGGGAAAGAAAACCAGAAGAGAAAACTGGAGGCTTAATCCAAAACTAACACTGGAAAGAACTGAGAAATATACTAGTCTTGGAAAATAAACAAACAAACAAAAAAAAACCGGTTGCTGTGGAGTTGAACCCAACTGAAGGAGACCCCATGCGTTACAGAGTAAAACTACTCTATACAGTTTTCTCGGCTGTAATCTTTATGTAAGCAGACAGCCACGCCTTTCTTCCATGGTGCCACTGGGTGGGTCTGAATGGCCAACCTTTAGGTTAGCAGACCAGTGCAAACTCTTTGTGCCAACCAGAGACCTGGAAAAATAGCTAGCCCAAACCTACCCTCAGGTCCTAATAGTAAGGGTTTCTGTTTTGCTTACAACAAATTCAGAAATCTTTTCTTAATAGTTTTTCCTTTGTAACTCTAGCTATCTTACATCCAATTTTTGTATTTTGTTGCCTTGTTTTATTATTTTGGTTTCTTAATAAAATTAAGATTTTTAAACCTCCAAGTTATTTGTGGTTTTGAGATGGAAACTGAGTAGGACTCCGAGATTATACACTCTAATTCTTTCAGGAAGCAGGTAGGTTACGATATGAGTGAAGTGGTGTAAAATGAAGGCGAGTTGTAGGGAACTGGAGACACGCAAACTCTGCCTCCACCTTGGCACTACTGATATTCTGGGCCAGGTAACTCCTTGTTGTGGGGAACTATTCTGTTCACTGTAGGATATTTAGCAGTATCCCTGGCATCTACCGACCAAATACTACCAGTACCCTCCAAGTTGTCACAGCCAAAATGTCTCCAGACAGTGCCAATTATCCCCTTGGGAGGCAAAATTCCTCTTGGCTGAGAACCACTGGCCTGAACGTATTAAAAACTTCCGGGGGTTGAATTTAGACCATGAAAGCCATTTTCAGTCTCTGAGTATGTTTTTAGATTTGAGATAAGGTAGGGAGGGTCAGTATTATCCATGGTGGCTGAAAATATCCAGGAAAAACCAGAAACAGTGGTGACTGAAAAACTGGAGGAAAGTCTACGAAAATCCAAAGGGGCAGCCGCAGATATTGACCCCATCTTGCCTGTTCCATTTTTTCATGGTGCTCCTACTATGCTCCTATTGGGTCGATGAAAATGACTGAAGACTTGTAGGAAAGAGATTCCTGGACTTACCTTTATTGAAGAATGTGGTGAGCATGAAGGCAAAGAGGACAGTAGTGATGCCATAAAACAACAGAAAGGAAAACACCAACGCTGGGTCACTATAGCGGATGATCGGCAATTTTACAATCTACCATAAAAAAAATATCCAATAAGCCAATTCAGTCATATAGATAGAGGAAAAAAGAAGGCGGTTAGGGAGGAATATAAAATATCTTTATTCTACTTTCACTAGTTATGAAATTCACTAGCTTAAAATTCAGTGATATGCAAAATAAGATGAATGATTCATGAAGACCGATGAGGACTCTCTGATATCTCTAAATTTAAGGTTTTATTTTCTCTGACTAGTCTCCGAATTTCAGCAACACAAGTCTGTCTAATTTAATGCATTTACCAACAATTTGTTATAGCACTGTTTATCCCAGAATTATTATCCTATTAAAACCTACAGTACAAATAAAAACAAGTATTAATTATAGTACTGTCCAATAAAGCTAATATATAATTTCATCCCTGCCAGCCAGTCAGCCAATGAAAGGTTGCGCCACACGATAAACTTTTATGCTTTGTTTCTCAGCTGCTCTCTACTGTAGTCTTTCTTCTTGCTATGATTTTTGACCCACACTGGTTGGGGATATTGCAAAAATGACTGTGCTGCAACAGACTAAAGAAGAGTAATATAATGTATGTTAGAATGAAAGGTTTTTGGATTCTGAAAGTGGGTGATCATTTTCAAGGGATTAGTTGATTAATGATTAGTACTCAAGAGAGATTCTGGTTCTGGAAACATGGCAGACTAAGCTAAACAGAGGCCCTTCCACTATTGCTGGATACAATTTTTTTTCTTCCTTTATATACATAGCTGAACCTGGATGAAAGATAGGGTAATCCTCAAGTATCAAAAATGGAGAAGAAATTGAAAACCAGAGCTGAAAGCATGTGACTTAAGCTACAGTCGCTCTAAAAGTGGTTACTGGACCTACAAAGGACCAGAGCTTAGGTTTTATCACTCATGTAAGTTCCTGGCTCTGGGAGAGGTGAGAAATTGGAACTGAGACATCTATGAAAAGCCTGGACTCTCAAAGAGCTAAGCCACCCAAGAAAGGGAAACTAGAAATGACAAGGAAGCTATCTCTGCATGAGGCTCTGGATGGAAAAAAATGAAAGCAGATTTCTGTGAGAAATTGAAACCCTAGACCTGTATCCCATGTAGGCTTGAAGACTGATTCACATTTTTCCAAGATGAGAAATCAACGTAAGTTATTTCCTTGGGCCAATGATATGGAACCACTGGGCACTTGGTAGAATTAAATGTAAAACCACAATGAAGGAACCCAACCACAACCCAGGCTTCACAGGAATCCTACAGAAAAAGAAACCCAGTTGAAAATGAGCCAACAAACAAAATTATAAAACACAGATGGAAATAAAATACCATGAGCAAAATCAGCAGACATAACCAACATATGGATAGATAAGCACTTCAAGGATAATAATAGAAAAATAATCTAAAAATTAACAAGTATAGCTAAAATAATTAAAGAGAAAATGAACAGAAACAATAAGGAAAGAACAAAACACTATAACAGGCAGATATGAAAAATCAAACAGAGCTTCTAAAAATGGAAAATACAGTCAATAAAATTAAATATTCAATAGGAGATAACAGATTTGAATGAGATGAAAAGTAAATCAGTGAAACTTCTGTGTTCAGTAACAGTACACTGGTAGTTTATAACTCATGCTGAGGGCAACTATAAAAACTAGACACAATATTAAAAACATGGGGCCAATATATTGAAGAAGACAAAACTCAGAGGGGTGAGCTGACATTTGGGATAACTTTTTCCCTGGGGTCATCTGATAGCTCTGGACTCAGAGGTGGAGGTTTTGCCAACTGCCAAGTACATCAATTCTAATTATATACTCAGACTGGGAAAAGGACTATCCTTAATGCAAGCTTGCTCTTTTTCTTCCTCTTTCAGCTGGTCATACAAGCTGCCCACACAGTCACAGGTGCAAGCTGAAGGAAAGGTAATGGTATAACTGTAGTGGGGGAGAATGACGTCTGGGATACCCGCTTATTCAGCGTACTCATGTCTTCTAGTTCTGCTCAGGCTTGATCCAAATATACTATTTCCATCTTACAATGGACTGCTAGTGGGCCCATCCAACTCTAACTTGGCAATCCAAGCACATCCAGTTCTTCATGGGCAGCTCCAGACACATGGTCACTGGCTCATGATCAAACATTCAAGAGCTGTTTCTCAAAAGGGGTATATTTCTCCGCTGTGAACTGCATGTCCTTGATAAAGAATACCATGGCCTTGTGATGTGATTCTTCTACTGGAGCTTGCCATAAGCATAATAATGCATCCCTTCTTACCACTGGCACCTCCAGTACTACAGGATCTGCTCGACTATATGGTCCAAGTGACAGGACTGATTGCACTGAGGCCTAGGCCTGTGACAGTGCCCTTTCTTGCTCTAGGTCCCAGTTAAAGCTCGCAGCCTTATATGTTACCTGGTATATGGGTTAAAGCAATGCTCCTAGGTGTGGAATGGGTTGCCTTCCTTTTCTGTGGTAGATGATGCAAGATTTAACCATTCATATTTTACTCTGGAAGAATATACCAGCACATTCCTGACCATCGGACGCATAAATCTTCACTGTAGTGGCTAGTCCTTGGATCTTTGCAGGGTTTATCTCTCACCTTCTGGTGCGGAGGTGCCCTAACAAGACTTTAAGGACAACAGTCACCTCTTGCTCATCCTGTCCAATCAGCATGATGCCATCAATGTATGGATCAGTATAATATTCTGTGGAATGTCCAGGAAGTCAAGAACTCTTTCGACTATACTATGAAAAACGGTGGGAGAGTAAACACATCATTGGGCAAAACTGATAATAAATATTGTCCACCTCACATGAATACAAACTATTTCTGACCCTCTTTTCTAACTGTAATAGGATAACATACATTCACCAAATCAACAGCCACATACCATGTACCTAAGGCCTTATTAATCTGCTCTAGCAATGATACCATGTCTGGCACAGGAGTGAAACCATCATTTAAGAGTGGAAAGAAAACATTAAAATAAACAAAAACTGAGAAGTTTAACCATTACCAGGCTCTAAGTGAAGGAAATACTGAAGGATTTACTTCCAGGAAAGGGAACTTGAATTCAAAAGGAAGAACCTGAATACAAAAAGTCAGAGAGAGAAAAGACTGTGAAAAACACAGCCTGTACAGGTTAACACTAATGACTAAATTCGGTAGATTTAAAAATATGGGGGAACTATAATTCTAAAAAACACTAATGTGAAAAGTGGAAGGGGAAACGTAGTCTATGTTCATTGTATTTTTTCAGAGAAAGACAAAGATAGCGATTACTCCTAAACTATGTTAAGTCAATTATGTAAGCCAAAATGTTATACACAACCAACCAGATGAATAGAAACAGAATGTACTACTTTTCAATCAGTAGAGAAAACCCTATCATTCCAATAAAATGCAAGAAAAAAACAAGGAAAATAAGACATAAGAAAACACAAAATAAGATAGTAAAATAAATCTAAGGACAGCAGCAACTACACTAACAACAAAGATTTTCACACTGAGTAAAATGAAATCCACGTACATCCTATATTTAGGAGACTTACCTCACAATGTGATGAAAGGATGTTTTGGGAAAAGATAAAACAAAAGCTGTCGTAGTTATATGATCACACAAAAGAGACTTTCAGGCAAGAAGGTATTATGTTAACAAAACATCTATTACAAATGATAAAAGGAACCATTCATGATGAAGACATTACAAGCCTATCTAGGTCTAACAATATAACTTCAAAGCACATAAGGAAAAAAACTGATAGAATCATAGGAGAAAAAAATCAATTCACAATCATAGTGATGGATTTCAATGAACCTGTCTTAGCAATTTATACCCACTGCCATCAAGTCAATGCTGACTCAAAGCGACCCCACAGGGTTTCCAAGGCTGTAAATCTCTACGGAAGCAGACTGCCACATCTTTTTCCCGTGGAGCCAATGGCGGTTTCGAACCACCGACCTTTCAGTTAGCAGTTGATCGCTTTAACCACTGAGCCACCAGATAGATCAGATAAAATTAATAATAGAGAAGATTTGATTAAGACAATTAAAAAGCTTGATCTAACATCACATATATGGTACCTTTCACTTATCCATTAGGGAATACAGATTCTTTTCCAACACCCATGGAATATTAACAAATAGTGACTACTGGTAGGCCACAACTCTAGCATCAACAAATACCACAGAAGAGTATTGTATCTACCTTATTCTTATTTGATCCCAATGTAATTAAGGTAGAAATAAATAACAAAAAGCCCCAAATAGAACAAATGTTGCTGAAAATGTGAGAAATCGGCAATCTCATCTGCTAATGGTGGGAATGTAAATTTGTACAATCATTTGAAGAATAATTTGATAATATCCAGTTGAAATGAAAATGTGTATCTCCTTTGATTAAGCAATTCCACTTCTGGGTATCATGTACTCAGATGTTCACTGCAGCACTCTTTATAATACGATGAACAAAAGCCTGCTTTTCAGTAAGAGACTGAATGGTTAAACAACTGTGGATTTATTCATACAATGGAATACTGTACAGTAGTTAAAATGAATGAACAATGCTAAACAGATCGCTATGGACAATCTCAAAAACATAATGTTGAATGAAAAAAGCTGGTGTCAAAAAATGCATTTAGTGTGTAATGACATTTACGTAAAACACTATTTTACATTGCTTACAGAATCATACAAATGCAGCAAAAAGTAAAAAAACACATGAGAATGATACATATGCTTTCAACGAAGTTATTATCTTTCTGAAGGGAGAGAAGCAGAGAAAGGGAAGGGGGAAGTGAAGTGTGGCTTTAGCTATAACTAAAGTTTTATTTGTTTACAAAAAATTCTGAACCAAATAGGGTAAAATGTTCCCTTTAGAATCCGGGTGATAAGTACAAGGGCATCCGTTATTTTGAATGTCAGGAATATTTAATAAAGTTGGTTTTTTTAAAAAATAGATTAGTAGTCAGTTAAGAATTGAAAGTTCTTAGACATTAGGAGGAGTAATCTAAACATCAGTGCAGCTGGGGAAGACGTGATCAGCAATTACATATATAGTTGTTATCAGGTGCTGTTGAGACAGTCCAACTTATAGCTACCCTACATACAACAGAATGAAACACTGCCCGGTTCTGTGCCATCCTCACAATCACTGTTATGCTTCAGCCCACTGTTGCAGCCACTGTGTCAATCCATCTCATTGAGGATTGTTATGGATTGAATTGTGTCCCCCAAAGATATGTATATCAATTTGGCTAGGTCATGATTCCCAGTATTGTGTGACTGTCCATTATTTTGTCATCTCATGCGATTTTCCTGTGTGTTGTAAATCCTATGACTATGATGTTAATGAGATGGATTAGTGGTAGTTATGTTGATGAGATCTACAAGTTAGGTTGTGTCTTAAGCCAGTCTCTTTTGAGATATAAAAGAGAGAAGTGAGCAGAGAGACAGGAGGACCTCACACCACCAAGAAAAAGCACTCGGAGCATACCACGTCCTTTGGTCTCTGCACAGAGAAGCTCCTAGTCCAGGAGAAGATTGATGACAAAGACCTTCCCCCAGAGCCGAGAGAGAAAGCCTTCCCCTGGCGCTGATGCCCTGAATTTGGACTTCTAGCCTACTAGACTGTAAGAAAATAAATTTCTCTCTGTTAAAGCCATCCACTTGTAGTATTTCACTAAGACAAGGGTCTTCCTGTATGTTTTTATACTTTTCATTGCATTTATATGACATATATATAGTAGCTGGAGGAAATTATAGTTGGAGGCATGTCAGGACTTCAGGGAATTTAAAGGGAACAAAACAGAGCCTGACTATGTACAGTATCGGGAATGCATCATCACAGGGAAAAGGCTAAACTGAATTAGGATAGCACTGATTCAGTGAGCGTACCACTTTTAGGAGCATAGTCCATGTGCTAAATAGCGTATGCTTTGTGCGCAAATTAATGATTTCATTTACTCAGCAGCCTCATCAGCATCACTCACCCCATACCAAGCTTCTCTCCAAACTTGAGAGATTTAACAGAGTAAACTTGCCTCAGTGACTATACTTGCCTTAATGAACAGGGACACAGTCATCAAACTGATGGTAACCAAAAGAGTCAAGAAGAATGTAATAAAAGTGGCACTCCAGAGCTGCCAGCTTCTTAGTCCCATCATTAGAAGGTACTCCTGTCGGGAGAGATAATAGAGAGGGAGTAACAAAAAGCAAACAACACATGACCCAAATCTTTCCTGCTGCCATCTCTATCTCAAGTAAATGAAACTGTGAAGGATTAAGAAATATGGCTCTGTATCATAACACATGGCTAAGGAGTCTCACTTGAGTTTAATTCTAGTTAATGAAAAAAGCATTCAAACCAGGCTACGTATGAAAAAAGGGGAGTAAATGGACGTTATAATAGTGACTTTTCTCGCTTCTTCAGAAACAGGTAACAGTGACATCTGCAGTTTCCCCCTGTACCAAAGCAGAATCCAGTACAGCCTAAACGACCTATTGTGATAATTAGCAAAGTTGATGGCTAAGATAAAATGAGAAGTGCTTTCTGTGGAATCACAAACACATAGTATACTTGAATTGTTACATTATAAATGTTTATTTACTAACATTTGGGAATGTAACATGAGTGTTTATCTTTGCATACTTTTACTGTGGTGGTAAGGAATGGAATTCATCGTCAGTGTATTGTAAGTAACAGTGAAAATCTAGGAAAAACTCAAACGTTCACTAGCAGTAGAATGGAGAAATAATCTGTGGTATATTCATACACTGGACTATTATACAGAAGCGAAAAAAATGAACTAATACATCCACATGTGTAAATCTCAAAAATACAACATTAAATGAAAAAAGTAGCAAAATAACATATATGGTATGATACGTATGTAAAGGTTAAAACCAGATGAAACTAAAGAATATATTATTTAGAGATACATACATTTGTGGTGAAATTATAAAGAAAAACAACAAAACAACTGCACAAAATTCATCACAGTTGTTATCTCTTGGAGGGAAAGGTGAGTATGGATTTTCAAAAGTATTGGTAATGTTCTTTATTACTATCATTATTATTTTATAAAGTACAAATGTACCTATATACTCTTTTGTTTTAACTAAAAAGCCCCAGAATACCAAGAATAAAGTGAAAAAAGGATAAATGCGGCTTGGAAAAGGGACAGTAGAGTCACTGTTACACTGTACTCTGAGACAGGGTCTAATAAAAAATGCCCCACAAGTTTTGTGTATCCTCTTGGGAGACATGTTGGAAGTTAACCAATAAACCATCATTGCAGTCTTTTACAAAATCTATGATACTGTATGCATTTTTGCTTTCTTATCTTTGGAAAGATATAATGGGTCTAAAAATGTGACAAATATAATGGTCACAAATTAGGGAAACTGCCACAAAAAGACTAAAAGTTTTGAAATTTTCAGCTACGAATAAGGTGCAATATTACTGAAGTTCGTAAGATAACAAATGAAATGAACAAGGTGAATATAGACTCATTACCAAATTCTAGAAAAATAGATTTTCATCCGTGGTCCAAGCTGTGAGTTATTCTGAAATGCCTTTCTTTCCCTTTGCTCCATATCCAATCAATCACAAAGTCTTGTTGGTTCTTTAAGCATCTTTCAAATCTAAACCAATTATCTCCATCTCTACTACCACTTTAGTCCAAATTCACCATCATCTCTCACCTGGACTACTGCAGTAGCCCGCTATTCCCATTTTGCAGTCTTCCTATTTATTATACTCAGCCGTAATGATCTTTTAAAAGGAAAATTTAATCATGCCACTTCTATACTTAAAAACTTATAATTGTATCCCATTTCTCTTAAGATAAACTCCCAAATCCTTAACCTGGCCTACAATACTATGCTTACACCTCCTTGTAATCTTGTGCAATTCCTTTCTTGTTTTCTGTGCTTTAGTCAAACTGGCCTTCTTCCAAATCTTTGAATACCCCATGTTTCTTCATTTCTCATGACCTCTGAACAGCTACCCTCTGCTAAAGAAGAGCTTTGTAATATCCCCCTTCTCCCTTTGTGCATAAAGGTATAATAAATTCCATGACCCTGGTGAATTCTTTAACCAAGGAAAAAAAGCTAGAGAATCTGCTCATTTAAATTAACACTAGCTTTCTCCTACAAGTTCAGGTTTATCTATATGGGGATTACAGTTTGGGACCTGGGAAGAAAATATATAACAAACTCCATATAATTTAAAAATACATATAAGACAAGACTTATCATCACAACTACTTTACTAATAAATTTACTGATGCTCAGATGGAATAACTTGCTTAAGGGTCACATGGCTAGTTAACTGGCATGGCCAGGATTCAAACTCGTATTTATTTCACTTGAGTTTCCTTCTACTAAAATATATTCTTGCACCGCAGCCTAAGATCAATTCTTGAGAAAGTTGTTAAAAGAATACATGAACAGAGAGGGTGGAGCAAGATGATGAAGTGAGTGGACATTCCCATTTATTCCCTTAGCAACTAACCCACTGAACAATGAATAAAAATAAGCACAGACGGAGATCTCAGAACTCTGAGGTGCTGGAGAGTCAGAATGAGTCCAGAAGCAGGGGGGAGGAGAAGCAGGGCAGCACAGAAGCTGGGAGAGCCTACCCACGAACATCTGGAGCCCTCGCTCATTGCAGCTATTTTGGGATGAGGCTGAGCAACATCCCAAACAGGGAACACAGAAAGGGAGCTAATCTAAGGAAACTATAGCCTGATTTTTTAAGGCAGTACAGACTGGCTGTGGGAGTTCATGGGCTGTGCAATTAGGAGGGGCTGACAGAAGACCATGGCACTGCAACAGTGCTGTTGAATCTCTCTGAGATCCGACACCGATGGGCACTAGGACTGGGAGGAACTGCAAGGGCAGCAGGGCAAGGGGAATACTTTGGACAGATGGGCAACAGAGGGAAACAGCTAGCTCCCTTTCCAAAGTGGGACACCATGGGAGAGCTTGTGCAGGGGTGTCTGTGAGGGAAAGATATAGAGAGCTCCCCTTTTTGCCACAGGAAAGTCAAGCTCCACCGCTTATGTCAGTGTCTGTGACCAGCTTAACCACCCCCCCGCGCCCCCACACATGCGTCTTGAATTCCAGGGATTAAGTATTCAGAATCCCTGAATCAGCACTGGAAAAAAAAAAGAAAAAAAAAGAAAAAAAAAACCTAAGGATAAGAGTGCCCTTTTGTGGTTTTAGAACAAGATACCAGGTCTACTGCTGCTGGGTCAATTCTGACTCATAGAGACCCTGTGGGGTGGAGTGGAGCTGCCCTGTGGGGTTCCCAGGGCTGTGAGTCTTGGTGGAGGCCGGCTGCCATGTCTTTCTCCTGAGGAGTGGCTGGTGGGTGCAAGCCCTGGCCTTTGGCCAGCAGCTGGGTGCTTGGCCACTGCACCACCAGGGCGTCCAATCAAAATAATTTCCCACAAAAACCAGAATACAAAATTTAACATTAAACAACGGTAATAAAATGGCCCAAGTTGAACAAAAAATAGTAAAACACACAAAATGACTAGAGAAGAAGGACTAATCAAAAGCAAAACATGAAGAAGAGGAAATTTCTCCTACGGAGGCCAGACTAATGGAAAGAATTGATGATTTCCAGACTATGGTGCTAAATATGTTTAAAGAAACCAAAAAGCACATAGAAAACAAACTAGCGGAGGTCAGGAAACAAATGGAGGCACAAAATAAGACTCAAAAAGGAAACTGAAAACATCGGAAAAAAAAGAGAGAACTACTGGAACTGAAGAATAAAGCAACTGAATTAGAAAAAGCAAGGGAAACAATAATAGCATCAAACAGACAGAAGATAGAATAAATGAACTAGAAGACAAAATAACTGAACTTATCAAACCTCAAGAGAAAAGAACAAACCCAAATGCAAATATGGTATTCAAGTAAGAAACCTAACATTAGTCAAAGCAATACTGAATAAAAAGAAGCAAGAGGCCTCACACTCCCCGATATCAAAACACACTATACAGCCACTGTAATCAAAGCAGCCTGGTATTGGTTCAACAATAGACACATAGACCAGTGGAACAGAATTGAGAACTCAGAATTAAATGTAGCCATCAGTGGACAACTGATTTTCAACAAGGTGTCAAAGTCCATTCAGTGGGGTAAAAACAGTCTCTTTAATAAATGGTACTGGCAAAACTGGATATCCACCTGCAGAGAAATGAAACAGGACCCACACCTTGCACCACACACAAAAACTAACTCAAAATGGATCAAAAGAAACGTTAAACCTAAAACCATAAAATTCCTGAAGAAAACATATGGAGAAAATTATGAGACCTAATATTCTTTAAAAATAGGATAGTAAACATAGTAACAAATGCACGAATAGAAAACAAAACACATAAATGGGACCTCAAAAAATTAAAAACTTATGCTCAGCAAAAGACTCTATTAAAAGAGTAAATAGAAAACCTACAGACTGTGAAAAAATCTTCAGAAACGACTTATCTGATAACAGTCTAATCTCTAAAATTTATAGACAACTGCAACAACTCAACAATAAAAAGACAACAACCCAATCACAAAATGGGAAAACGACATGAACAGAACCTTCAGTAAAGAAGACATTCAAGCAGCCAACAACATATGAAAAGATGTTCATGATCATTAGCCATTAAACCAAAAACCCACTGCTGGTGAGTCAATTCTGACTCACAGCAGTCCTGCAGGACAGAACAGAAATGCCCCATAGGGTTTCCAAGGCTGTAAATCTTTACGGAAGCAGAATGCCACATCTTTCTCCCTCGGAGTGGCTGGAGGGTTCGAACCACCAACCTTTTGGTTAGCAGTCAAGCACTTTAACCACTGTACCACCAGGGCTCCTCATTAGCCACACAGAGATGCAAATCAAAACTACAGTAAGATATCATCTTACCCCAGCTAAAATAGCACTGATATAAAAAACAGATAACAATAAATGTTGGTGAGGATGTGGAGAGATCAGAACCCCTTATTCATTGCTGGCAGGATTGTAAAATGGTACAACCACTATGGAAAACAGTATGGCACTTTCTCAAAAAAAACGAAATAGAACTACCCTATGATCTAGCAATCCCACTCCTAAGTATATACCCTAGAGATCTGAAAATAATGATACCAACAGACATAAATGCACATCTATGTTCACTGCAGCTTTATTCACAATAGCAAATAAACGGAAATAACTGAAGTGCCCATCACCGGTGAATGGATAAGTAAATTGTGGTACATACATAAGATGGAATACTACACAACCATAAAGAACAATGATGAGTCTGTGAAAAATATTATAACACGGATGGACCTGGAGGGCATAATGCTAAATGAAATAAGTCAAGCATATAAGGACAGATCTTGTATGATCCCTCTTTCTTAAGAAGACAAGAATATATAGAGAGGGACTAACGTTCATTGGTGGTTACTAGGGAGAGAAGGGGGGAAGGGAAAGTACACTCTAGATCAGAGAGACTTGTTATTTTTCTTGGTGATGAAAAATGGCACCAAATGTGGATGTAGCGAGCACAGCAGAACCAATGTAAAAACAAGTGTTTGAGCATATATGGATGGGTACAGGCATATTATTACACAGGTAGATAGAGGTGTGTACACAGGTAAGAACAGACAGAAGTATCCATAGGTACGTGTAAATATAAATATGTCGGTGCAGGCACATATATTCGTTGAAGACACAAATAAAGATACTCCTCATGCATAACCAAACACTTTCCAAGTTGGTTTTCTGGGTTTGAAGGCTTAGGACCATAGTCTCACGGGACAACTCAAGTCAAATGGCATAACATAGTTCACAAAAATCATTATCTGTATCCTAGTAAAGTGAGTAGTATCTGGAGTCTTAAAAGCTTGTGAACAGCCATCTAAGATACAACTACAGGTCTATACTCACCAGGAGAAAAACAGTAAGAAGGTAACAAAAAGCTCAGAGAAGAAAAAAAGTCTACCACGAGCCACAACCTCAACTACCCTGAGACCAGAAGAAATGGATGGTGCCCAGCTACCATCACTGACTGTTCTGACCAGGGTCACAACAGATAGTCCCGGATAGAATGGGAGACAAATGTGGAGCAGAACTAAAATTCTTAAAAAAAAAAAAAATGTTAATCCAGACAAATTGGAACAGTAGAGAACAGAGGACTCCCTGAGACTATCACCCCGCTACTCTCTTTAAACCTAGAAGTGAGCCTATCCCGAGATCACCTTTTCACGAAGTAGCAGAGTGGCACACAAAATAAAGGTTATTACCCATAAGATCAGTGGTCTACTTAAAAACCATCATAAGGTCAAAAATTACTCAAAAGCACAGATGAGATGAGCAGGGAAACTAGAGTATTGAAAATGGAACAAACAGAATAAAGCTAAAGAGAATGCTGACATGTTGTAATAGATGTAACTAATGTCACTAAATAATTTGTGTGGAAATTGTCAAATGGGAACCTAATTGGCTGTGTCAACTTTCACCAAAAACTCAATAAAATATTATTTTTAAAAAAAAAGAGTATATGAACTTTCAGATTTTAAGTAATTATTTAAGGGTTAAAATAGTGATAGTATTAATTGGAATTTTAGATGGCCCAGAGGACAACTAGGCAAATTTAAAATATGGTAAAGAATTCAATCTTGGAAAAATAATCTACGTAGCATTAAAAGATCAGTATTACATCATTTCAAATAATAAGATTTCTAGGAGAAGAGCTGGGTTAAGATCATGAAAGGAGAACTGTGAAAAGGACTGAACACATGAACCTATGGCTTCAACAACTATGCTTCAATGAATATGTTTTAACTGCCTTAACTGTTGCTTTACTACCTTATATCAACTAACAGGTAAAGTGAAGCCGGCATCAAAGCTGAAATTTCTACTTGAGCCACAAGACACTCCAGAGTACCTTAACACCTGAAGAAGTTTTAAATTAAAGAAACAAAAACAAAAAGGAGTTACCTTCAATTTTGTTTCCTTTTCCTGCACAACGGTACGGAGAATTGTGAATACAGTTAAAGAGAAGATAAGTAAGATCATTGGGGGCCATATCTGACCAAGGAATATGAGAAAGTTGTCAATAAGGAAGGCCGGAAATGGAAATCTTTTTGTATAAACATCGATGCTATTAAAAAGCCTTTGTGCACTGTCATTCGCATGGTAGTGTATGATGGCTTTGTCCACAGCATTTTGCAGAGCCAAGAATCCTTCTCTGATATATCCTGAATGAGAAAACAAAAAGCATTAAGCAAACATATCAAGCAATATCCCATAGGCGCAAATCAACTGGCAACACTGATCTACTGGTCAAGGCTTCTGCATATCGAACGATTAGGGTGATGAGGTATTGATGATAACCTCCGCTACCAATCACAGACCTCTCTACAATGCCTACCATCATCATCATCAAAATCATCCTAGCTCAGAACTTCTTAATACTTCTTAACTGACTTTGCTTCCAATTCCAAACATTTGTCCAAACTCTATGTTTTACCAAAATGTCCGATTTACTACATGCAGGTTTTATCAAAGGAATGTTGTTGTATGCCATTGAGTCAATTCAGACTCATAGCAACCCTATATGACAGAGGAGGACTGCCCCACAGGGTTTTCTAGGCTGTAATCTTTATGGGAGCAGATCGCCAGATTATCAAAGGAATAGAATGGTTTTAATTAATTCATGAAATACAGAAAATTTTAAATGCTTTTAAACTGGAAAGATGAGGAAAATACGAAAACTAAGAATCCTCAGACTTTACATACAATGACTGTATCTTCCTATAATATACTTGAGCACATTTATAAATACTATTTTTTAAACTTTATTAAATTTATAATTACTATTTTTTAAAAACAAAGTTACAAGTTTCTCTGAAAAAAAGAATATATACTTTTTCCTACTGATGACCTACTGGGGCAGCATGTAATAAGGTAAAAGCAACAGCTGCAAAGCCTATTACCATTTCTTACATACATGTTTCAAGAAAAAAAAAATCTGTTTTGGGTGGTTTATTTCTTTTAAAACTGAAGGAATTTTAAAACTTGTCCTCATCATTACATGAGTACCAGGATTCAGAATATGTTGGTTTACAATGTTCACTGCAAGACTTTTATAAGGAATTTTCACAAAGAAACCAGGTTTAAATGGAGATCACATTCTCAAGTCCTAAAGTCTATGTTTTCTATAATTATAGCTTAAAATCTGGTACTAATAATTTTAGTCTGAGTTCTACGTGCTGGGAACAGATAGCAATGAGGTACGAGGAGAAAAAATAATTTTTTTTCTTTCTTTTCCAGGCCCAGAAAAAACTCTGAAATAGAGACAAAGTTTGTCTCCAGTATGCTCCCTTCATTTCTCTTATCTCTTAGTCTTCCTAGATCTAGGATTCTTATTCTTATGTTATCTTCTTAGTGGTTGCTCTAGGCATTATAATTTACACCTTAACTTATTAGAATTTACTTCAGACGTATACTAAATTAATTCTAGTAAAGTATGTAACTTTACTCTTACATGGCTCCATTCCCTCCCCCACCGTTTTTTGCTATTATTGTTATACATATTACGTCTATACATGTTACAAACTGAAAAATACATTGTTTTATATAATGTCTTCTAAAGAAGCTAAAGGAAGAAATGAGAGCACAAATATATTTATTTTTATATTAATCTTCAGTTATTTCTCATTTTTGGTTCTGCTCATTTCTTCCTATGAATTCAAATTACCATCTAGTGTCATTTCCTAACTTCAATATTCATATGCACATGAAAGCTGAACAATGAGTAAGGAAGACGGGAGAAGAACTGAGGCCTTTGAATTATAGTGTTGGCTAAGAATACTGAATATACCAGAAGAATGAACAAATGTGTCTTGGAAGAAGTATGTTCATAATGTTCCTTAGAAGGGAGGATGGCAAGACTTAGTCTCACGTACTTTGGACATGTTATCAGGAGGGACCAGTCCCTGGAGAAGGACACCACGCTCAGTAAAGTAGAGGGTTAGAGAAAAAGAGGAAGACTCTGAACACAGTGGAGTGACACAATGGCTGCCAACAATGAGTTCAAACACAGCAACAACTGTGATAATGGTACAGGACCGGGCAGTGTTTCACTCTGTTGCATATAGGGTTGCTCTAAGTTGGAACCAACTTGACAGCAGTTAACAACAATACAGCTTCATTCCCATCCCTCCTTTGTGTTGCTGCCAAAGAGATCACATTTTTACGTTATATGCCTAATAATACAATTTTATAGTTTTATGGAACAGTTGAAAAAATATATATAATTACTGTCTTTTATCATTACCTATATAACTACCTTTACCCAAGCTCTTGTGTGTGTGTGTGTGTGTATTCAAATTACTGTCTGGTGTCACCTCCTTTCATGCTGAAGAACTTCATTTAGTATTTCTTCTAAGACAAGTCTGCTAACAACAAATTATCTCAGTTTTGCTTATCTGGGAATGTCTTTATTTATCCTTCATTCTTGAAAGACAGCTTGCTGGATGTTAGATTCTCGGTAGAGTTTTTTCTTTCAGCACTTTGAATATGTTGTCCTACTGCCTTTTGGCCTCCATTATTTCTGATGAAACTAAACTGTTAAACGTTTTGTGGTTCCCTTGTGATATGTCAGAAACCCTCATGGCACAGTGGTTAAAGCGCTCAGATACTAACTGAAAGGCTGGCAGTTCGAACCCACCAGCTGCTCTGCGGGACAAAGGTATGGCCGTCTGCTTCTGTAAAGATTACAGATTTGGAAACCCTATGGGGCAGTTCTACTCTGTCCTATAGGGTCGTTATAAGTTGGAATTGACTAGATGGCAATGGGTTTGGTTTGGTGCAATGTGTCGTTTTTCTTATTGCTTTCTAAATTTTAGGTTTAAGTTTTCAACATTTTGACTATGATGTGTTTGGGTGTGATCTTTTTGTATTAATCCTTCTTAAAAGTTCATTGTGCTTACTGGATGTTGTCATGGATTGAATTGTGTCCCCCAAAAAATGTGTGTAGCAACTTGGCTAGATCATGATTCCTAGTATTGTATGATTGTGTCAGCTGATGTGATTTCCTTATGTATTGTAAACTCTACCACTATGATGAGATTATATGTGATCTCCTCATGTGTTGTAAATTCTATCACTATGATGAGGTTATACTGATGAGGTTGACAAGATCGGTGTCTTAATGCAATCTCTTTTGAGATATAAAAGAGAGAAGCGAGCAGAGACACGTAGGAACCTCATACCACCAAGAAAGCAGTGCTGGGAGCAGAGCACGTCCTTTGGTCCTAAGGTTCCTGCGCAGAGAAGCTCCCAGACCAGAGGAAGACTAATGACATGGACCTTCCTGCAGAGCGAACAGAGAAAGTGTTCCCCTGGAGCTGACACCCTGAATTTGGACTTGTAACCTACTGGACTGTGAAGAAATAAACTTCTCTTTGTTAAAGCCATCCACTTGTGGTATTTCTGTTGGAGCAGCACTAGATGACTGAGACAGATGTGTAGTGTTTTTTCATTAAATTTGGAAAGTGTCCAGCCATTATTTCTTCAAATATTTGTTCTGCTCTTTTCTCTCTCCTCTCCTAGTATTTCCATTATGTGCATGGTGGTGCACTACTTGGTGTCCCACAGGTCTCTGGGGCTCTGTTCATTTTTTTCTTCATTCTTTTTGTTTCTGTTCTTCAGACTGCATAACCTCTATTTATCTTTAAATTTGCTTATTCTTTGATCAACTCAAATCTACTGATGATCAACTCCAGTGAATTTTTCATTTTGGTTATTATGTTTTTCAACTCCAGAATTTCCATTTGGTTCTTTTTAAAAAAAATAATTTATTTTGTTATTATTGAGAATGTACACAGCAGAACGGATAGCAATCCAACAACTTGTACAATTTAGTGACATTGATTACATTCTTCAAGTTGTACAACCATTCTCATCTTTCCAAATTGTTCCTCATTAACATTAACTCACTGTTCTCTAAGTTTCGTATCTAATCTTTCGAGTTTCTATTGTCAATTTAATTCTATAAAGTTCTTAAAAAAGCACAATGCTCAAATCAGACATTCATTACTAGTTAAGGTGAGCAATCATTTATGGGTTACTTTTGGTTAAGGTTTAAGATTATCTCAGGGCAGTAAGTTCAGGGGGTTCATTCAGCCTCCATGGCTCCATAAAGTATGGATTCCACAAGAAGGTGAAATTCTGTTCTGCATTTTCTCCTTTTTGGTCAAGATTCTTCTATGGAATTTTTGATCAAAATGGTCAGTAATGGTATCCGGGTGCCATCCAATTCTTCTGGTCTCATGGCAAAGGAGGCAGCTGTTCAAGGAGGCAATTAGCCACACATTCCATTTCCTCCTTCTATTCCTGACTCTCCTTCTTCCTCTGCTGCTCCAATTGTGAGACCAATTGTGCCCTGGATGGCCACTTGCAAGCTTTTAAGACCTCAGGCACTAAGCAATGAACTAGGAGGTAGAACAGAAGCACTAAACATGTTATTAAGCCAATTAACTGGATATCCCATGAAACCATGACCCTAAACCTCCATACTAAGGAACCAAATCACATGAGGTGTTTGGTCGTACACAAGCAGCCTCAGCAGTGACTCTCTATTTTTAATAGCTTCTTTGGAGCCTTTGCTAAATAAATCCAACATCTGGGCACCTTCAAAGACAGCTTTCATTGCCTGCTTTTTTTTCCCTGTGTATGGGTCATAATTATTTGTCTCATAATTATTTGTTGGAAATTGGACATTTTATTTTAGATAATACGTTGTAGCAACTCTGGATACTAATCCTCTTCCCCTTTCTGGGGCTTGTTGTTAAGTCATTTATTTGTTTAGTGACTTGGCTGAAGAAATTCTGCAAAGTCTATTTTCCCCACAGTGTGTAGCCTCTGATATCCCTGCTCAGATTTTCTTCCTTGTTTTTCTTTTCTAGCCTGGCTTCCTAAGGATCATCAAGTGCTCTTATTAAACTTCTGTTGTTCAAAGTTTCCCTTCTGAAGTCTTCCACTCAGGTCTACCTTCTGTCACCTTTCTCCAAAAAATGTTCAATAACTTCCTACTTCCTTATTCCTAAAGCAAAACTCTATTCTCTAGCACGGCTGACCCATCTAAGAGTCTAACATAACCAGACTATATAATAATTGTCCTAGAATACTAGTGCTAGAAAGGTCTTAATGATGTATACCAATACAAAAAAAAAAAAAAAAAAAGGTCATTGCCGTCCAGTCAATTCCGACTCATAGCGACCCTCTAGGGCAGAGTAGAACTGCTCCAAAGGGTTTCCAAAGAGCGTCTGGTGGATTTGAACTGCTGACCTTTTGGTTAGCAGCCAAACTCTTAACCACTACACCACTGGGTTTACTCTCACCTAAAAAGTAACTTCACAAAGCTAATTAACAGCAGAGGAAGAATGGAATTCTTTAGGGCATTTGGCTTCCAATTTCAGTGTTACCTTTCTCTGCAAAAATTGGCAACAAAAAGAAGAAGATACATTTACAGACAACAGGTTTTTATATAGTGCATCAAAGCAGAAGGGTGCAGAAGAGGTGAGGCTGTGTATAGAGAACTCACTGGTAAGCAAGCTAAGTTTTCCTTTTTGTCAATGCCCTTTGGGTGTTTCTGCTTTTCACAGTGTTTTGACTTTTTAAGTTTTGCTAAAATTTTTCATCCTTTTCCTTTCCTAAAGACTTCCCAGGCACAAGAGGAAGGACCGGGATGGTGGCAGCTATTTAGACATGGGTCACTTATAAGTTAGTTCATAAATTGAGGATTACTTCCATTTCTGCAAAGAAATGACAGCACTGTCCTGTTGCTTTTAAGGTTTTGTAGATGCATTAAAAATAGATTAAAAATTTATACCCTTAGAGTAGCCTTGCTTATCAAACCAAGGTGTGGTCTATCAACCAGCACTGTCAGAATCACCTAGAATTTTGGAAATGCAGGATCTCAGGCTCTATCACAAGTTATTAAATCATATTTTTCATTTTAAAAAGATACCTAGGTGATTTATATGCACAATAAAGTTTGAGAATTACTCTAGACTTTAGAGCAGTGCTATCCAACAGAAATATAAAGTGACTATATATGTAATTTTAAATATTCTGGTTGCCACATTAAAAAAGTACAAACAGGTGAAATTAATTTTAATAATAAATTTTATTTAACCCAATATATAAAAATATTATTTCAACACGTAACTAGTATTAAAATTATTAGTGATATTTTACATTTTTTCATACAAAAAAATTCAAAAGCTGAGGTGCATTTTACACTTACAGCACATCTCAATTCAGACTAACTACATTTCAAATGCTCAGTGGTCACATGTGCCTACTGCATACATTGGACAGAATATGTGGCACCTAACAACAACAACATGTATTACCTCTAATCAGAAGCAGTGTAAGTGATGTGATTTATGGAAGGCTTTATATAAAGGAAGTAATAGAATCCAGCCTAGAAATCAGGACCTCTCATTTCAGTCCTGTGCCCTTACTTTGTACCCACTAAATCACCAAAAGTTACAATGTTTTGAATTCATCCAAACTACTCTCCTGGTTCTCAAACTTGCCTCCCTTCTTGAAGGAAACAATTTCTTTCTTGGATTCTGACTCAAATTTTGAGTCATATATAAAAACTAGAACTAAATCAGTTGCCGTCAAGTTGATTCCAACTCATGGTGAGACCGTGTGTGTCAGAGTAGAACTGTGCTCCAGAGGGTTTTCATGACTGTGACCTTTTGGAAGCAGACTGCCAGGCCTTTCTTTGGAGGTGCCTCTGGGTGGGTTCAAACCTTCAACCTTTTAGTTAGTAGCCCAGCGCTTAATCATTTGCACTGTTGTTGTTGGTTGGTGCCGTCGAGTCAGTTCCAACTCATAGTGACCCTACAGGACAGAGCAGAACTGCCCCCACAGGGTTACCAAGGAGCAGCTAGTGGATTTGAATTGCCAACCTTTTTTTTTTGAATTTCTCATACAAAAATTTATACACATATTGTTTTGTGATATTATCTGTAATCCCCACAATGTGACAGCGCACTCCCACTTTCTATCTCAGGTTCCCTGTGTCAATTTAACCAGTTCCTGCCCCTTCCTGCCTTCTCATCCTGCCTCAGGACAGGAGCCGCCCATTTGGTCTTGTGTATCTCACTGAACTAAGAAGCACACTCCTCACGTGTATTATTTTTTGTTTTATAGTCCTGTTTAATCTTTGTCTGAAGAGTGGGCTCAGGAATGGTTTTAGTTCTGGGTACCAGAGCATCAGGGGGCCACAGTTTCAGGGGTTCCTCCAGTCTCTGTCAGACTATTAAGTCTGGTCTTTTTATGTGAATCTGAGTTCTGCTCCACACTTTTCTCCTGCTCCTTCCAGGACTCTGTTCTGTTCCCTGTCAGGGCAGTCACCAGTGGTAGCCAGGTACCATCTATTTCTTCTGATCTCAGGCTGGGAGTCTCTGATTTATGTGGATCTTTAGGCTCTTGGGCTAATCTTTTCCTTGTGTCTTTGGTTTTCTTCATTCTCCTTTGGTCCAAGTGGGATTGGACCAACTGATGCATCTTAGATGGCCACTCGCAAGCTTTTAAGACCCCAGATGCCACTCACCAAAGTAGGATGGAGAACATTTTCTTAAAAACTTTGTTATGGCAAGTGACCTAGATGTCCCCCAAAACTATGGTCCCCAGGCCCCAGTCCCAGCTACTCTGTCCCCAAAGTGTTTGGATGTGCCCAGAAAACTTCTTAGCTTTTGTTCTGGTCCAGTTGTGCTGATTTTCCTTATATTGTGTGTTGTCTTTCCCTTCATTGAAGTTGATCCTTGTCTACTATCTAGTTAGTGATGAACTGCTGACCTTTTTGTTAGCAGCCGAGCTCTTAACCCACTGTGCCACCAGGGCTCAACCATTTGTACTCCTCAACCTAAATTAATGTCAGTAAACTATGTAATACTTCCAAAACTATTTAAAGAGAGATATCTCTTCATACACTGAAAAAAAATGTAACCATATAAAAGTGGTTGTTGTAAATTAACAAATACATCCAAGTCTTGCTCACCAGGAGCTCCCCCATCATCCTCCAGAGGGTTCCTGGGTCCTGATGATGGGTAAATTGGAAAGAGATGACCTGTGTTCCAGCCATAATCCTCCTTTGGAATCACCAAAAGCCTTGCAGCTGGAGGGGTGTTTCTTAAAGAATACCTGAAACGCAGGTTGTAGCTAACCTATAAGATAAAATAAGAAGAAAATCATTTCTGTGAGATACTGAAATTGAAGACCAAAAGGTTGAGCAAAAAATGTTCAGATTTAGAGGAAAACACTATATGACTATAAAACAAAGGTTTACACTCAATATCAAAAGTTACTAGTGGTGACTGTTTCTAAACATGGTGAATGTAATTAATGCTACTGAATTGTAAACAAAAATGGTTGAAATGGTAAATATATGTATTTCACCACAAAAAAAATTTTTTTCTAAGTTGATAAGGGATTTCAAGGTCAGAAAATAACATTAGCCTTGTCGTGCACTTGCCTGCTTGTCCACCCATAAAAAGAACACATTGCCATCGAGTCGATTCCAACTCATAGCGACCCTACAGGACAGGGCAGAACTGCCCCATAGTTTCCAAGCTTGTCCACAGTAGATGTAAACTTAAAACACTTGACATCCTATTGATGTCCTATTCTTTAAGCTAATCTGTTCTAAGTGGCTGGTTATATAAAAGTCTCACAATATTTGTATGTATAATTGTTTACCATTTGTATTTTTCCATAAAAAATATACTTAAGGACAAGAGATAGTTCCTTGGTCCCCAGGATGAGCACAAGTCTTCTCTCTCTCTCTCTCTACCTCCCTCCCTCCCCAATGATGAATCAGGCTCAAGGACAAAAGGCTCCACTTCCAAAGAAGAGGACTATTTGTGTGGACTGGTCAGATTTGAGGTATTTATATGCTAGTGGGCACGGTCACTATGCCAAGTTAAAAAAAAAGTGTATACAAATACAATTCTTTTCTCCTTCTTGCCTTCTTGAGATATACTATCTTCTTTTGACTCTCTTCTACTCATGTGGCCAGCACTTGGGGGTCCTTGAAGCACTGGCTGCTGTTCTCTCTTCTGTTTTGGGGCTTTTTAATTCTTAGAGTCTGCAGTTGTCAGGTGTGGACTGGGGTCTAACCCTACTGGAGAACCTCCAGCCACTTTACTTTCTCTTTTCTTCCATACATCTGGGTTAGATAGACCTGGATGCAGCTTGAGGCAGATAATTGTGGCCATCTCTGCTCTAGGAATTTGACCAAGTTCTTTGTCTTGTAAGTTCCTTTCTGCAATCTTTCCTAGAATCAGTGTTAAAATCTCAGATGTGAGCTTAATCTTTGCAATAGTAATAGGCATGGCAGACCTTTACACGTTACTTTGGTTCTTGGTCATTCAGGGTAACCTGGCCTAAGTAAGGTACTGTATAGGATTCAGTCCATCCTAGAACAGTTCATAGTTTGTAGCCAAATCCCTAGTTATAATAAAGTATCACTGTCTTGCTTTGCTGATCAGTGTTTCCTGCGTACCTATCTCTTTTGGCAACTTTGACCTTATGAGAATCAGGGAAGGATTCAGGTATTCCTGGGTCTCTTGGGCAAATATTATCATAATTATTAAAGTACTCATTATTATCAGAAATATCTGAGATAGGCATTTGATTCTGGATCAAATTTTATTTTCTAAATTTTATCAATATAGGGTTAATAGGTCCTATTAACTCCCTGGAAATTTGAAAAAATAAGACACATAAGAGAGCTGGAGACAAATTTAGAGGGACTAAAGGGTCTAAATAATTTTCAATGTAAGATAACATAAAGTTGCACTTGCTAAAGAGATCCATACTCCAGGTTTCAATGGGGCTTCCAGACTGAGGCTGACTAGGGAAGAAAGGCATGGCGAGCTACTTCTGAAAATCAGCCAATAAAAACGCTACAGATCACAACAGTTCAATCTGCAATCAACCACGAGGATGGGACAAGACAGGCAGAATTTCATTCTGCTGTGCATGGGGTTGCCATGAGTCAGGGGCCTACTCAAACGCAGCTAACAACAATAACAACATACTCCAATCAGACTCCTAGAGAAGTACCTCTGTATGGGACTCAGCACAACACAAAAATGAGAGAGAAGAAGTTTTTTGAATTTAATCTCTTTGAGGATGTTCCATATTACTGGCTGTGTAGTATGAGTTGAAACTGCTACTATTTATATAATCTTGCCTGGATAACAGAGCACAAACACCTTGAATTAGATTATGCAGTGATTTCTCAACCTAATTTGTAACACGGTACTGAAGTGAACTTAGTAACTGTCCTCTTAGGACTCATTTCAAAAGTCTCTGGGGGCAACTTGAAAGAAATTTTGAAAATTTGAGGGGCTAGTGCCCCTCTTACCAATGGCCCAGGTACTTACAGTACAAACCGAAATACACTTGCCCTACCAGAGAAAAAGAAAAGTGTGACAGGATATCAAAAGAAGCTGCGAATCATTTAATTTCCTGCCAGAAGAAAACTGAACACTCTTGAAGACTACACAATCCAGAAACCCTAAAACGTATCATCCACAATGTCCAGCACATAATAAAAAAGTACTAGAAATGCAAAGAAGAAAGGAAATATTATTCAAATTTAAAACTAAAAACAAAAATGGAGTTAGCAGAAACACATCCAGATGTAAGAATCTGCAGATGTTTAAGGCAGCTATTATAAACATATTCACAGATTTAAATATTGTCCAAATGAATGAACAGAAGGGGGATCTCAGCAGAAAAACGGAAACTATCATTTCAAAATTCTAGATCTAAAAAGTACAATATCTAAAATCAAAAATTCACTGGATGGGCTTAACAGCAGATTGGAAACTGCAGAAGAAAAGGTTAGTGAATTTAAAGACATCAAAATTATCCAATATGAAGAATAGAGAGAAAAAATTGAAAAAAATAAAGTCTCAGTGATTTAAAAAACAAGATCAAGTAACCATATATATATAAACCAAACCAAACCCATTGCCACTGAGTCAATTCTGACTCATAGTGACTCTATAGCACAGAGTAGAACTGTCCAATGGGTTCCAAGGCTATAATCTCTATGCAGGCAGACTGCCACCTCTTTCTCCCGCAGAGCCGCTGGTGGGTTTGAACTGTCAACTTCCAGCTAGCAGCCGAGTGTGTTAACCACTGCACCACCAGAGCTCCTACCCATATATACATGTCTATATATGTGGGTGT